TGTATAGGTCCTCTGGACGGGTTCTTCTTTAATGAAACGTTTCGTCTCTCTTCCAAGAGACTTCTTCAGTCTCTTGGAAGAGAGACGAAACGTTTCAATAAAGAAGAACCCGTCCAGAGGACCTATACAATTTTTTTTTCCTTTTAATCCTTAACATTGTACTTGTGCACTTCTACAGGTACATCTGGAGCTGTTATAAAGTTGTCAGCAAACTTTTTCCGCCTCCTGTCCCGCCCTCAGTGGGTTCTGAATCAGTACCATGTGGACTTCAAGCCACCTATGGAGTCTCGGCGCCTAAGATCTGCCCTCCTCTTACAGCACGAAGAGGTTCTTGGCCCAGCAAGCAGCTTTGATGGAGCTCTGCTTTTTCTGCCTCAAAGACTGCCCAACAAGGTACCAAAAATGAGAGATTGTAATGTACTTCCTATGAAATGAGCTGYGAAGTTTACTGTCAAATTACTTCTGAATATTTATCTTTACTTGTTAGAAAAGTCTTAAATGAGTAGCAACAGTGGACCAGGGTTGTTCATTGCTTTAATCAGTTTGTTTTTCAAAAGTTTAAAATATCATTTAATGGTTAGTAGTTGTGCAGGCTCTTGGTGTTGTTTTTCTTCCCACCTAAACAAACTTTTTTAAATTTTCTTTGTTTGTGAAAAATTCAATGTATAGGAGACTGTACTTCACAGTGAGACCAGGAATGGGGAGAAGGTTCAGATAACGGTCACTTTGACAAACGAGCTGCCACCAACATCTCCAGTATGCATTCAGTTTTACAACATCATATTCAGGAGGTATGTTTTGCAGTTTCTACAGTCTTACAAACTTGTGCATTGTTATGGAAATATTTATAAAGAAAAAAATGCATGGACAATTCCATTTAATTACACGGTGGATGCTGTAAACATTTTTTTGACAGGATTTTGAAGATTCTCAACATGCAACAGATTGGACGCAACTACTTCAACCCAAATGATCCACTCAACATTCCACAGCACAAGTATGCCAGT